TGGCCCAGTGTCCTTGAGAGTCCGGCCACGCCCGCCACGCACAGCGTCGCCTCCTCCGGTGCCCCCCCGCGCCCGCTGCTTGGCGCAGCCCCGGGGCCTCGCGGCCTCTCCGCGGTTGGAGACCCGCGACGCCTCCGCCGCCGCCTCGCGCCCGATGGTGAGCAGTGTGTTGTGCCGCTGCTTGGCTTCCCCGCCGCCGGACGCCGCCGCCGCCGCCTCGTCGTCAGCCTCGTCGCCGGCGTCCGTGGGGGACCCGTGCGGCGGCGCCGTCTGCGGGGGCCCGGACCACCGGCTGCGCCTTTGGAGCCTCTTCCAGACTCTCGACGTCAACCGCGACGGTGGCCTGTGTGTCAACGACCTGGCCGTGGGTCTGCGGCGTCTGGGACTGCACCGCACCGAAGGCGAGCTCCGGGTAGGCGGGCGCGCCGTCCGCGCGGGTGGGAGGAAGCTCCCTGGAGGTCCGGATGACAGGTCCCGGACTTCCCGGCTTCTCGGGCAGTCCCTTGGAGCTTGGCTGGCCTGGTGAATAGCTCTTTGGGCTGGACAGGACCCCTAGTTTTGGGAGGATAGTGTCCCCTGACTGACAGATGGACAGCCTAATTATGCCCTGGTGGGAGTGGGGCTCCTTCCTGACTTCTGTGAGTGCTTGGGCTAGGGAGAAAGGCTTAAATTGTGGGCACAGGTGGGCACCCTCTGGGCCTCCAGGTGAGCGAAAAGCCCCGTCCTGCCCGGGCTTTCCCCAGAGTAAAAGGCCAAGTCTCAGGAATGTGCCTTTGTCACCTCCTGACCTCAAGGCCAAGTTTGATGCTCACCCCCTTAATGGTTTCATCCATCCATCTCCAGCAGCATCCGCCCCCCACCCCCACCCCGTTTTTCCTCTCGTTTCCATGCCACCCGTGGGCCCTGATCTGGTTCTTCTCAAGCATGTGGGAGTCGAACAAAAATGGGAACTGGGGTTTCAGGCAGATCTGTGTGGATGTGGGTGGTGAGGGCTGACAGCTCTCATGGTTTAAGCTCATCCCTGTTACTGTACTTATCCAGAAAATGGGGTCACGATCCCTTGCAGGGTTGGAGTGTGGACAGAGTGAAAGAATCTGGGGGGAAATTCTTTCTAAAAGTGAAAGTGTTGCACCTAGGAGGGGCAATTGTCCTGGAGTGGGCTCTTGGCCAAGGTTGGAGGAGAGGAGGGGCAGAGAAATGGCCACCTCTCTCTTGGCCTGCCAGAAAAAGTGCTGTCCTTTCTGTATATGAAGATTAAAGTAGTGGCTGTCTTCCCCTTTCTGTCTCTCATGGTCTTGGTTTGTTTTTCCGTCTGACTTTGTAGCTGTAGCTACCCTTTCCCAAGTATTTCATTTATTGTGCCTTAGCCTGATTTACAACCTTAAGTAGGTCTACCCAGTACTTTATCTAGTAACCCGTTTCTCTTCTAAGTTTTGTTTGGTCCATTCGTACATACAACTGGAGAATCTCATAGCCAAGTTTGAAAAAAATCTGGTAAAATGCCAGTGAATTAAACCAATTTGTTGGTTGAGTGGGTGTATGTAAGGAGTTTTAAACTCATGTCCAAGATTTCTTGGATCAACATCCTAGGTTTTTAACCTACTTAGGATCACCCTAGGAAAACCAAGGGTAACACTATGCAACATAGAATCATGGGATGAAGTCCAAGAGATTTTTTTATTTTTATTTATTTATTTTTTTTAAAAGATGATCGGTAAGGGGATCTTAACCTTTGGTGGTGTTAGCACCACGCTCTCCCAAGTGAGCTAACTGGCCATCCCTATATAGGGATCTGAACCCGTGGTTGTTATCAGCAACACACTCTCCTGAGTAAGCCACGGGCTGGCCGTAAAGTCCAAGAGATTTAGAGACAAGTTTTTTTTTTTTAAAAAAAATATTTTTTAAGTCAGTTTTACACAAAATAGTGTTGTGAACAGGAGATTTTCCTGTACATATCTGAGAAAGAAGTGACTTTAAAAGGTAGGATGGCTAACTTAGAGGATCTGTGCCTCAGGGTTCAGGAAGGTGTGAGCCCAGGTGAACCTTTCTGCTTTCATGAAACTACCCACTTGGCATGTGCTGCTGGGCACATTGAGGACATCTGGCTGCAGGAGTGTATTAAATGTTTACACCATGCTTTGTGCCTCCACTGGAGTCACAGTGTTCTCGCAAGTCATGGCATATCTGATATTGATCCTAATCCATTTTTTTGGTAGTGAATTTCTAAGGGCAAATAAGGAGAAGGTAATCATTTTTCTTTACAGTGCTGAAAGAAAACCTTTTTTATTAACCAAAGGGAGCCTAGCCTGGGGTCACTTTGGCTCTAAAATCTTTGACTCTGTGACTGATCTAAGTTCTATGATATGAAACAATTCTTTTTTATTCGTTTGGTGTATGGGTTTAGTATGGACTCTATTTCTTCAACTCTTCCAGCTTTTGAACAAGTTAAATTGTTATACAGCCTTGAGAGAGATTGGAAATGATTCATTTTATTAATTCATTACCTGTCAAGGAGCACAAGTTAGTCCTGTGGGGCATGTTTGAAGTATAAAGAGAAATTTTGTGTTTTTATAAATAACTGGGCAACAGGAAGACACCCTGCTTCGTGTATCCCCGTACCACTTCCTGTTGAATTCGCATCAGTATTAGCTGCCTACAGAAAAAGCAGTGCTGCTGCAGTTTTGCAAAACTAGCTGGAGCCAAAATAGAACTTGGGGACCCTTTGGTTCAAAATGTGTCATCTGCTATGGGAGTAAGTGTTGAAAAACACATCAGACTTTGGAAACTACTTCATATGACCCCTATGAAACCAGTCTGAGGTGCTAGGGTTTGCACAGGAATCAGCCGTGAGTGCTTGTCACTGGATCACCTAGGCCATGTGACTCCACAAAGCTTCTTGCTAGCTTATAACAGCCAGGGTCAAGTTTTCTGTAAGTTTTGCCATCTGCCTTTGTTTCAGAAGAGACGGGGATGCTCAGAGAAAAATTATTTAAAATGAAA